TGGAGATTGATCGTAACAGAAACGTGGGCATAATTAGCACGCTCAAACACTACGTAACGTCATCCGACAGAAGCGTGATTCTGAGGAATGTCGGCTGGGATGCGCGTACTAACGCGGATGGATGGCGTAGCGACAACAATTGCCTGATGGGAAATTCGGCATTGGATCCCGTGGTCGGCTTATTCAAGATACAATGCCGCACGTGTTATTGAGCAAGATAAAAAAACTATCGATGCTGCGCACTTTGGAGAGCGGATGATATTTGAGCATGGCTTTTCGCTTGTGGGATCTGTACGAATTTCTGCTATTACAGCCAAGCATTCGTGGGCCATCAAGACCGCTACTCGAGAAGCCGCGATACGTCTTCGCTTTGCAAACAGGTCGAAAAAACGTCATGACTGAGAACACGAGCCGATTCGACGACTGCGACTTGACCAACATGAAACTCTATCTGAACTCAGAATGTTATCCATACAATACGATATGAATCTGGATTTCGACAAAAACAGATGGTCCGTATTGTACGAAACGTACGCGCGTTTCTGCAAGAGTTACTACGAACACGAGTATCTCGAGCCGAGTCTTACTGTCACGTCTTTTCTACATAACGGTCCATCGTAATCATCGATTGTTCTCGATAAAACGAATCGGTCAAGAGTGCAATCGTAGACGTGAGATTAGAATTTGAGACTAAGGAGAACGTACCGATGAATATCACCGCGTACTATCTCATTATACATTGTTGTAGCTAGATCTACAATCAATAATAAAATAATAACCAATAATAAAAGTAGTCCGCATGGCAACAAAATTAGATCGCATGAATCTCGAAAAGTATTTCGAAAGACAACACAAATGTGTGACCGCCGAAATTGCGACCAGTCTTTCGAAAGACCGCAGAAATATATCACGCGAGAACATTGCGAAAAAGCCTATCAGCAAATTCCTAAATTTGATGATCAAACCGAGCGTAATATTGATTAATCAATATCACGCAACCGATCGACGCAATCGATCAGAATGCTGATCGGGCATCGATCAGACTATATAACTAGTTACACAAGGCGGAGTCGCTGGAGAGTCAAGAGTCAAGAGTCAAGAATCAAGCATAACGTGTCGTTCGGAATCGTTATTATAATTATCACGCAAGATATTACAAGAGCGCGGCGAAGTTCATTATCAGCATCTCAGGTGATATACTCGGTCGTCGGCCGCCAGAGTAACGCGATACGCGCCGAGCCGCCCGCCGACGTTTAACCGTGTGTGAAAAAAATAAAATAAGCAATACTAAATTCAAGAAAGTGTGCAATTATTAAATAAACCAGTAAAAATAAAGAAAGTGTGTTAGTGAATTCAAGAAGATTTCCTTCCATTCTTTTGATCCTGCTCGGAGTCCCAACTCCTTAGGCTTAACGAACCCGACTATCTCTAATATTATCGTTGTAGCCCATCCGGGGTACAACAACATGATTGCGTGATTCAGTACAATCCGTTGACCAATGTTGTACGCAAGAGCACCTAAGAACATCGCTGGCTTATAAGAGAGAGATAATAAAATCTACGATACATCGAAATCGACCGCAGTCTCGAAAAATTACTTATGGTCGTGCCAACGTTCGTAGACCTGCAAGGTTTCCTCGTTGGAGAACAGTTTGTCGTAAAGGAGTTTGCTGCTCTCGAGCAAGCAGAGAACGGACCGTTTTTTCTCACTACATTTTTGCAAGCCCTATATCATGGCATTTCCTCGCAAGTGCCGACAAGTCTCGCGCATGCTGGATACGTCATCACCATAGACTGCGATGGGACGACGGAACGAAAGCCATATATAGCAAAGCTAAGAGTTTGATTACAAAGGCTGTGCACGGAACGAAAGACGACGACGACGACGACGACGACGACGACGACGACGACGACGACGACGATGCTGTCAAGGAACGATATGTCAAGGAACACGAGAAACGACAATGGTTATAAAATTTGCTTCTGGACGATGAGCGAGAGTGCGTACATCGAGATTCTGGATGCGTAGATTCTCTGAACAATCTGAATGCTGATAATACTATGCGGATATCACTATACTAATTTTACAAAATGTATTTAAATTGCGCTTTACAAAATGTATTTAAATTGTTTAATTGATAGTCAGATAATGAATAAAATAAATAAATATGATATACGAATTATGTTTTTTATTCCTTTCTATTGCGTTGATAATATTTTAACGATCGACGTACCGCTTCTTAGCGCCACGAGAAGTTTATCTTGTCGAGGTGACTTATCGCGCGTCGGGCAGGAATATAGGTCAGTGTGTCGGTCATGCACATGACAAAGAAATTGCATCATAATTTAAAAACTTTTTTATTCATTTTTTACATGATTTGTTTGATACAACTAAATATTTAATAATTGATTAATTGATTAATTGATTGATTAATTAATTAATTGATTAATTAATTGATACCGACGTGCTCTCTTTTTTATTTTTCTATTTGAACATGACTAATATAATAGTCATAGTAGTCGCGAAATGCTCTATGCAATTGAACACCTCCGATTCTTTGTCTTTTTCTTGGCCGCTATAACACGCTCGTTCAGCTTCTTTAGAAATTTCTATCATAGAGTCAGCGATATCCATTGCCATGTTCTTTGCCACAATGATATATTGTACGCACTTCCTCTGTAATGGTAGTATATGCATGTCTCCAGAAATTATTTGAGAGAAATCGAGAAGTGGGGGAATCGGAGATTGCGTTTCTTCACAAAATTGTGGGGATTCGGGGTGTAGTAATGTCTTCTTAAAAAATAATCCGTCACGTTCATCAGTGGATAGGCCGTCACGTTCCGTGGAGAACGGAGAATTCGTTAACTCTTCAATTGGTCGACAACTGCACATCTCGTCATTTATTAATTCAGCACACACAGTGTTCACAATGATTGCATGTCACGATTTTTCTCAATAAAAAGCTCATTGTAAAGTTTCTTGTCTCTCTCTAGTAGTATCCTCACTATATAAAAAAAATTCAAAAAATTATGTATATACACACCTCATTATTCTTATAATATACTCATTATTCTTATAATATAACTGACCTAGTCTTATCAATACTTTCCACAAATGAGTAATTAGCAGACAGAAATAAATACCGTTATAAGTGTTAATCAATACATGCGACACTTCATATTTTTTTTGTATGCAATGACTTTCTCTCACATTAGACTTCCATCTACTATGATTCCATGCATCCAATGATCTATTATATATCATCAACAATTTCTTTGTCCCTTTGTCCAAAAATCAGAGCGTTGTCATATGTTTGTAACTGAATCGTAATTTGTTTATTTATTTGTTTATCTATTTGTTTATAACTTTTATTATCTTTGCAGTTTGTTCACAGCAGTCAGATTATCGGCGCTTCTTTCTTAACACGTCGATATGTGGAACAGCACTTTCTTCTTCTTTAAATGCGGCCGTTTTTTTGCAATTTCTGCCTTCAGCTTATCAAGTAAAGGATGCGTAATACGCTCCCGTTATTGTTTTACCTTTTTCAAGATAGTCGATACACACAATTCCGTGACCCAAAAAACAGTCGCCATTACCTTCCCAGCTGATGGAACCGTCTTCACCTTTTTCGGAGCAGGTTCACCCTTTGCAGTCCACTGTTTTGACTGTTCTTTTGTCTCTGGAGTGTAGTGGTGAATTCAAGTTTCATCTACAGTTATGAATCGACGCAAAAATCGTTTCACTCCAACAGGGCCTTGGAAATGTTCATTCGAATTCGTTTTTGGTCCAAAGTGAGCAAGCGCGGCACTCAACGCGCGGATAGCTGCGCATATCCAATTCTTCAGTCAATATATGACAAACGCGTTCTTTCGATATGCCCATAGCCTCTGCTATCTCTCTAACCTTCGACGGTCGTCCAGTACCATTTGGTGAACATTTTCGATGTTATCAGCACTGGTCGCAGTTTTTGCCATCTCGAACGCTCATCAGTCAAGCTGGTACGACCACGTTTAAATTCAGCTGCCCATCTTTTTACGGTGGCAAATGATGGGGCAGAGTCCCCGTAAACAGCGTCCAACTCGATTTTAATTTGCGCAGGCGTATTGCTTTTCAAATGTAAGAATTTAATCACGGCACGATATTCAATTTTTTCCATTTTTACAAAAACACTGACATCGACTGACACAAACGACTGTCAAACAACAACTGAGCGTCCAAAATGGCTGAAATTTTCACAAAGTCTTTCAAAGCATATATTATTGTAGTACTTTTTTTTGATAGATCGGGAAAAATGCTTTACGCACCCCCCCCCCAGAGCGTCCCGAGCTCCGGGGGGAGTATGGAACTCGGTGGTATCACCATGCTGTGGTCACTCCATACCCACTAAAAAATCCGGTGTGTGCCTACTTGGGCATTTTGCGGGGGAGCCCACGGTACTACCAGCGGCATTTCTTCATGGGCACCCTCACGCCCTTATCCGCATCCGCTGAAGGCTGCGGGCACCCACTGTTGGGACCTTTATCCCTACTTAGGGGAGAAGTCTCGAGGCGAGACTTGAGACTCCTCCCCGTTCCCGTCCGCGGGAACAGGCGGTGGCGACCTCACGGCCCCCACGCCCAAACCCCCGGCCGGGTCCCACGCGGTCCCGGTGGCAGCGCGGCGCGAAAACACCGCCCCGGGACCAGCGCACCCCCGAAGAGGAGGTAACCAGGACCAGCCGTGACCAGCCCCAGCCCCAATCCCCCTCCAAGGGTGCCAACTCTGCCGGGGGGAGGAGGTCCCCCGAAAGAAGGCCCCCCCGGCTGGGTCTTCCCGCTACCCAGCGAAATGCACGGGACCGCGAACAAGGAGAGGGGGCAGCGCCCGGGCCCTAAGGCGCCACCCCCATCACCCGGAGAGATCTCACTCCTATCATTGGGAACCACTCAGGGGGGGAGAGCAGGCAGGCAGGTGCCGCCCCAACTCCCCTCCACTCACGGCTACTGCGCCCTTAGATGCGTCAGCAGCCACCTCCTGATATTTCTGGGGCGAGCCCCCGGGGCCCGCGTTGTGCAGGGGCCAGAGACTCACCCCTTCTCACTTTTTCGGCCTTCTCCTCCCGCCGCATCACTGCCTCGCAGAAGAAGGAGACCGCCCTCCACTTATCCTCCCTCTCCAGCATCCCCTCAATCAGAGACCAGAGGGAGAGGTCATCCCCCATAACCGCGGCCAGGGCACGGTGCTCCTCGGCCCACGCCGGACAAGCCTCCAGCGTGTGCCGCGCCGTGTCCCGGACCGCCCCACAATGCCGACATACTTCGGCAACCTATTTCTCAATTCGGCACAGGTACTCCCCGAAACATACGTGTCCGGAGAGCAACTGCGTCAATCTAAAGGTCAGCCCGCCGTGGCCCCTTCCCACCCACTCTGTGAGAAGAGGCCGGATGGCCTCGGTGGTCCAACGGCCAAATGCACCCGGATCCTCCAACCTCTGCTGCCATTGCAGCATGACCCGAGCGCGTTCCTCTCTCCTAATCTTTATCACAGCCCTCGGACTATCCCCTTCCCCCTCAGCGCCCTGGTGCGCCGATAGCGCGCTCCAGGGCCATGAGATCCACAGGAGAGACCCCAGCAAGGATCGTGATCGCCGCGTGACACCGTCCTATATGCACGGGCGACCCCGGCGGCCATACGGCGCTGAATCGCGTTTGCCACCGCCCTTATGCGGCGGCTGGCCGCCATTGCGGTCGCCCAAACCGGTGCCTCATCCAGGAGCACCGACAGGACGGTGTTCACATATAGGCGCCGCACAGCGGCGCCCGGACCACCGAGGTTGGGTAGGAGACGACACAACGCGTTCATCATCCTATCCAATCTGGGGGTCAGAGACCTAAAATGAGTCTTGAACTCCCAATGTCCATCCAGGGTGAAACCGAGATATTTTAGGTTCGGTCCCACCCTAACGCGGGCCGACCCTATCCGCACGAATGCCGGAGGCGGCACTCCACGTCTTCTCTTATACAGAAATATTGCTTCCGTTTTGTGGGGCGCCACCTTCAGCCCCATCGCCGCGATCGCTCTTGCGACGCTAGCCACAACCATATTGGCCATGATCAGCGCCCCAGTCATCCCCCCCAGCCACCACCAACGTATCATCCGCGTAACACACAACGTGGCAGCCAGTGAGGAGCGCCGTGCGAAGCACCTATCATATACCAGGTTCCACAGGAGCG